CATACTGGCCCCCCGTGGGAATCGAACCCGCAACCCTGGCGTTGCAAACACCATGCTCTACCAACTGAGCTACATCCCTGCCGGCCATTCCCTCCCCTACCCTGGACGACGCTGGGCCAATTGTGCGCCGTCCCGTGGGTCTCCCGGTTGCGGCCGGCTACGACAGAGCCTGGATTCTAACCAGGATCTCTAGTGGCACAGCTAGCACTGCGATGCAGAGCCTTAGACCACTGCGCCACTCGGGAGGCCCCACACAGGGCAGTGTCAATCACTGCCCTGGGGCACTGAGATATTTTTCTTGTAGGACAGAGGACAGTGCCTCCTACTGGCCCTCCAACTTCCAACAGCATCTGGTCTCCCATCCTGGGACATAGCAGGATCAACCCTGCTTAGCTTCTGAGGCAATAGTGATAGTATGCATCTGAAAGGGATTTATTTATTTATTACCATCAATTGCAAAATTAGTGCGGCCTAATCTCCCTAAGGAGTGGTAGGCTTAAGTAAATTCGCTAAATGATTTTTTGTAATTACAGAAAATGGCCACCTGATGAATTCAACAGGCTTATTTCAGTGGTTCCAGTGCATGGTTAAGGGAGAGAGCAGGGCTGTGCTCAGTAGGGAGAAAGCATTTTGAAACGGATTGAAATGGAGAGGTACTACCTAAAAACTTGTTTTTGCGATACAAAATGTTTCGCTATGGTGTACCCTACTGAACATGTCCCTGATGGAGGAAATCAGCGCTCACCTCTTTGAGGCCGTTGAAGGGTCCCAGGGCTGACACAGTGTTCCCCTGCACCATGACGTAGCAGTTGGTGAGCAGCTCCAACGCCTGAGGGGGAAACAGGTTAGACAAATGCCTGTAAGAGGGTGGTTGAATGTGTTCCATGCAGAGCAATCTCCATCTGCTCACACTCCACACCTTAACACACACCATGACTGCTGCTACTGCCACCACTACGACTGCTGACAGTACTACTACTACTACTGCTGGCAGTACTACTACTACTACTGCTGACAGTACTACTACTACTGCTGACACTATGACTGCTGACAGTACTACTACTACTGCTGACAGTACTACTACTACTACTGCTGACACTATGACTGCTGACAGTACTACTACTACTGCTGACAGTACTACTACTACTACTACTACTACTACTACTACGACTGCTGACACTATGACAGTACTACTACGACTGCTGACAGTATGACTGCTGACAGTACTACTACTACTGCTGACAGTACTACTACTACTACTACTACTACTACTACTACGACTACTACGACTGCTGACAGTACTACTACTACGACTGCTGACAGTACTACTACTACTGCTGACAGTACTACTACTACTACTGCTGACAGTACTACTACTACTACTGCTGACACTATGACTGCTGACAGTACTACTACTACTGCTGACACTATGACTGCTGACACTACTACTACTACTGCTGACAGTACTACTACTACTACTGCTGACAGTACTACTACTACTGCTGACACTGACTGCTGACAGTACTACTACTACTGCTGACAGTACTACTACTACTACTACTACTACTACTACGACTGCTGACACTATGACAGTACTACTACGACTGCTGACAGTATGACTGCTGACAGTACTACTACTACTGCTGACAGTACTACTACTACTACTACTACTACTACTACTACTACTACTACTACTACGACTGCTGACACTATGACAGTACTACTACGACTGCTGACAGTATGACTGCTGACAGTACTACTACTACTGCTGACAGTACTACTACTACTACTACTACTACTACGACTGCTGACACTATGACAGTACTACTACGACTGCTGACAGTACTACTACTACTACTACTACTACTACGACTGCTGACAGTACTACTATACTGCTGACAGTACTACTACTACTACTGCTGACACTATGACTGCTGACAGTACTACTACTACTGCTGACAGTACTACTACTACTACTACTACTACTACTACTACTACTACTACTACTACGACTGCTGACACTATGACAGTACTACTACGACTGCTGACAGTACTACTACTACTACTACTACGACTGCTGACAGTACTACTACGACTGCTGACACTATGACTGCAGACAGTACTACTACTACTACTACTACTACGACTGCTGACAGTACTACTACTGCTGATAGTACTACAAACAGAACCCATGCACTAACTCTTCGCACCTTAGCACACACACACAGTTGAAGTCGGAAGTTTACATACACCTTAGCCAAATACATTTAAACTCAGTTTTTCACAATTCCTGACATTTAATCCTACTAAAAATCCCTGTCTTAGGTCAGTTAGGATCACCACTTTATTTTAAGAATGTGAAATGTCAGAATAATAGTAGAGAGAATGATTTCTTTCAGCTTTTATTTCTTTCATCACATTCCCAGTGGGTCAGAAGTTTACATACACTCAATTAGAATTTGGTAGCATTGCCTTTAAATTGTTTAACTCGGGTCAAACGTTTCGGGTAGCCTTCCACAAGCTTCCCACAATAAGTAGGGTGTATTTTGGCCCATTCCTCCTGACAGAGCTGGTGTAATTGAGTCAGGTTTGTAGGCCTCCTTGCTCGCACACGCCTTTTCAGTTCTGCCCACACATTTTCTATAGGATTGAGGTCAGGGCTTTGTGATGGCCACTCCAATACCTTGACTTTGTTGTCCTCAAGCCATTTTGCCACAACTTTGGAAGTATGTTTGGGGGCATTGGCCATTTGGAAGACCCATTTGCGACCAAGCATTAACTTCCTGACTGATGTCTTGAGATGTTGCTTCAATATATCCACAATTTTCCTTCCTCATGATGCCATCTATTTTGTGAAGTGCACCAGTCCCTCCTGCAGCAAAGCACCCCCACAGCATGATGCTGCCACCCCCGTGCTTCACGGTTGGGATGGTGTTCTTCGGCTTGCAAGCCACCCCGTTTTTCCTCCAAACATAAAGATGGTCATTATGGCCAAACAGTTCTATTTTTGTTTCATCAGACCAGAGGACATTTCTCCAAAAAGTACGATCTTTGTCCCCATGTGTAGTTGCAAACCGTAGTCTGGCTTTTTTATGGCAGCGACCCCAAAGCAAGAGCATTATTGAAAAGACCGCAGTAGTGCCATTAAGAATGAGAAAATCCACGTATGGCTTTATTCATGTAAAGTTTAAAACATACCCCCTTTTTTTCCTGTTCATTCCGGCCTGTTGCGTCGTCTGAGCCCAGTTGTAGGCATTTCTTCTGGAATGCTCTGTGCTACCCCTATGACCTCAATGTTTGTTTCACAAGAATCCTCCAAGGAGGGCATGACCTCACTGTCATCTTTATCCTCCTCCTCCTCCTCCTCCAGCTGCTCCTCCTCCCCTCCAGCGTCTGTCGCTGAGTACTCGTCCTTGGCTTCGGGGTGGTGATGCTGGTGGTGGACTGGCTCTGGTGCCTCTTTCCCAACACCACTTTGTTCGTCTGCCGCAGAAGCGACCCCCTCTGGCGGGGTGTCGTCGTGGGCTGCCAGAGACTCGATGAGGTCATCCAGGTTCCTCTCGCACTGCGGCTCTGAAAGATGGAAAAGAGCAAAAGTTGCGACCATGCGCCACAGTCACCGCAAACAGGCGCCCCATTTCAGGATGGGTGTGTTGGAGTCACCCCATTTCAGGATGGGTGTGTTGGAGTCAGGTAACCCATTTCAGGATGGGTGTGTTGGAGTCACCCCATTTCAGGATGGGTGTGTTGGAGTCAGGTAACCCATTTCAGGATCGGTGTGTTGGAGTCAGGTACCCCATTTCAGGATGGGTGTGTTGGAGTCAGGTACCCCATTTTAGGATGGGTGTGTTGGAGTCAGGTAACCCATTTCAGGATGGGTGTGTTGGAGTCAGGTAACCCATTTCAGGATGGGTGTGTTGGAGTCAGGTAACCCATTTCAGGATGGGTGTGTTGGAGTCAGGTACCCCATTTCAGGATGGGTGTGTTGGAGTCAGGTAACCCATTTCAGGATGGGTGTGTTGGAGTCAGGTAACCCATTTCAGGATGGGTGTGTTGGAGTCACCCCATTTCAGGATGGGTGTGTTGGAGTCATCCCATTTCAGGATGGGTGTGTTGGAGTCAGGTAAAGATACGGCTTACATGTCATGTTTTGATGTCAATATTGCTCATGTGGATCATGTATGATGGCGTGTGACTCTTCCTGCCCAACTCATTTTCCACAGGACAAATAAAGTTCATTGAATAAAAAAAATAAAAAATCCATACATGTTTGTTCACTGTATTAAATGGTCAGAAAGTTACTTTTTGGACCTGAATTCCAAACCATTTAGGAGATAGAGGTGCTCAAAGCTGGCCCATTTTGGATACCCCACCATACCAAAAAAAACAGGATAATATAAAATAGGGAACGCAAAAGAAAACATTGAATATATTTGTAATTTTTTTTGCAACATAAAACAAAAATGTATTTATTTTTGTCCAGGGGACTCATTTAACAACCATGCTGATTTTCTAACTAAACTCTGGGCACGTTGAAATCCTAGGATTTGCGTACGCAACAAATTAATGGAATTGATCAGACTAGCGCTCAATGTTCTCATTGATTAATCAGAACCATAGATGCGCAAACGTGAACAAACATTACAACCCTGCCTGGAAAACACTGTGTATTCACCTTTTATGGTGACAAAAAGGCCCTCATTTGCGGTATGAATTGGAACTAGGCAGCTGCGGTTTCTAAAAGAAAGGGCAATGGTCAATTTGATCACATTTCTGTGGAGGTGTTGGCAGAATGTTTTCATCTTTTGCAGTGACTTTTTCAAACTAAACATGCGAGAGCCAAACTCTGGCCGTGAATTGCGCCAGATTGACTGTCCATTAGAGAAACGTTCAACTAAGTGCTATAGCCCACACTGCTTCAACGCAAAAGACAAACTGTTGTTCAATATTTTGTTTATCAATAGATGATCGCGTTTCTATCTCCTGCCTTGGTATAGGCTCTGAGGTTTGATAGGTTATGATGTCACACTCCTGCACAGAAATACTCTACCCCATAGCCTACTGTCAAATACTTTAAATAGACCGGCAGCCTAGGCTATTTCCTTTCAGGTAGCTTGGCCTATTGAATGGTAATTATTTGTCGTACAGTGGGGGAAAAAAGTATTTAGTCAGCCACCAATTGTGCAAGTTCTCCCACTTAAAAAGATGAGAGAGGCCTGTCATTTTCATCATAGGTACACGTCAACTATGACAGACAAATTGAGAAAAAAATATCCAGAAAATCACATTGTAGGATTTTTAATGAATTTATTTGCAAATTATGGTGGAAAATAAGTATTTGGTCACCTACAAACAAGCAAGATTTCTGGCTCTCACAGACCTGTAACTTCTTCTTTAAGAGGCTCCTCTGTCCTCCACTCGTTACCTGTATTAATGGCACCTGTTTGAACTTGTTATCAGTATAAAAGACACCTGTCCACAACCTCAAACAGTCACACTCCAAACTCCACTATGGCCAAGACCAAAGAGCTGTCAAAGGACACCAGAAACAAAATTGTAGACCTGCACCAGGCTGGGAAGACTGAATCTGCAATAGGTAAGCAGCTTGGTTTGAAGAAATCAACTGTGGGAGCAATTATTAGGAAATGGAAGACATACAAGACCACTGATAATCTCCCTCGATCTGGGGCTCCACGCAAGATCTCACCCCGTGGGGTCAAAATGATCACAAGAACGGTGAGCAAAAATCCCAGAACCACACGGGGGGACCTAGTGAATGACCTGCAGAGAGCTGGGACCAAAGTAACAAAGCCTACCATCAGTAACACACTACGCCGCCAGGGACTCAAATCCTGCAGTGCCAGACGTGTCCCCCTGCTTAAGCCAGTACATGTCCAGGCCCGTCTGAAGTTTGCTAGAGTGCATTTGGATGATCCAGAAGAGGATTGGGAGAATGTCATATGGTCAGATGAAACCAAAATAGAACTTTTTGGTAAAAACTCAACTCGTCGTGTTTGGATGCAACTCAGCATTCTTTGTCCTCCAAAGAACACCATACCTACTGTGAAGCATGGGGGTGGAAACATCATGCTTTGGGGCTGTTTTTCTGCAAAGGGACCAGGACAACTGATCCGTGTAAAGGAAAGAATGAATGGGGCCATGTATCGTGAGATGTTGAGTGAAAACCTCCTTCCATCAGCAAGGGCATTGAAGATGAAACGTGGCTGGGTCTTTCAGCATGACAATGATCCCAAACACACCGCCCGGGCAACGAAGGAGTGGCTTCGTAAGAAACATTTCAAGGTCCTGGAGTGGCCTAGCCAGTCTCCAGATCTCAACCCCATAGAAAATCTTTGGAGGGAGTTGAAAGTCTGTGTTGCCCAGTGACAGCCCCAAATCATCACTGCTCTAGAGGAGATCTGCATGGAGGAATGGGCCAAAATACCAGCAACAGTGTGTGAAAACCTTGTGAAGACTTACAGAAAACGTTTGACCTGTGTCATTGCCAACAAAAGGTATATAACAAAGTATTGAGGGACTTTTGTTATTGACCAAATACTTATTTTCCACTATAATTTGCAAATAAATTCATTAAAAATCCTACAATGTGATTTTCTGGAAGAAATTCTCATTTTGTCTGTCATAGTTGACGTGTACCTATGATGAAAATTACAGGCCTCTCTCATCTTTTTAAGTGGGAGAACTTGCACAATTGGTGGCTGACTAAATACTTTTTTCCCCCACTGTATGGTAGCAGGAATAAACAATTCATGTCTGAAAAGGAGATGTCCTGCAATATGACTATGATTTACATAATGAAAGAAAAATAAATATACAAGGCCACCGATCTCCTTACCAACGGAAAATGTGCATCTGTTTTATCATTATGCTTGAATGTGTTTATTAGCATTGTTATTAATTACAGTAATTCCTGTGTCACCAAGCAACGCAGCTTCCCCAAAAGAACAATATTTGCTTGCAATACAATTCTTCAACCACTAGAAGTTGTGCGTAAGCACAGTCTGAGGTGTGTGTGGAGCTACGTACACTTTCCCCTAAAGTTCAAATATGATCAATATCAACCCTAGCGAGAAAACATGCGGAACGCAGGGTTGTCTTTTTTGTGCGTATGCACCTTTGATAAATGAGGCCGCAGGTACTCCCTGTTCATCTGTTTTCTTCCATTTGGTGCCTAATGAACATGCCCCAGCAGGAGGTGGGGTCACATACCTTCAATGTTGAGGGGTGGACAGTCCATGCCTCTCTTCTTCATCAGGTGGCGGATGGACTGGAGCTGGGACATGATCTCGTTCTTCTGTTCCTGGGCCACAGACTTGACACTGGAGAGGAGCGAAATGGACAGAAGAGAGTGAGATCACTGAGGACAGAACTCTGGGAAACGCAGTCCCTGACCGGTTGCCCTTTGTAGGTTCAGTTCATAGCTCCGGGATTAAGTTTCTCTAGGTACAGATCTAGGATCAGCTTCCCCAATCCTAACCTTAACCATTAGTCAGGGAAATGCGAAACAGACTCAAAATCTGCATCTAGGCCCTAGGGGCCACTTCACCCCACACCTAGTTGATACAGAAATGTGCTTTGAACTAGATTTAGTTACCCACGGTCTTTAAAAGTTCAGTTCACTAAGGTCAGGTTTAGTACGCAGGTACCAGATGAGAGAAAGTACAGAGGCGAAAATACCTAGACTTGACAATCTATCAACATTTCTTTTGAAAACATTATCTCCCATTTGGTGCCTGGTCAACACACCTCAGAGTCCCATTACGATAAACGCTATTAGATTCAGCAGGGTCAACAGTTTATCAAGACCATGCGATGTGACCTTACAACTGCATAACTACCTGGTTTGGATAAACTGGTCTTAATCACGACAGACATGTATTTAATTACATGGGGTGATATTTACAGAGCAATATTTACACAGAAACAGAAGACAAACCGGAGCTCTGTAGTTTAACGGGTGAGTTGGCTTACTTACCAACTTGTCAATGGGTCCAGTTGGGTGAGAATGGAGTTGAGCATCTTCTCTGTTTGCGCTAGCCGCTGCTCCAGCTCTGTAAGCTGATTCTCTATGGAAAGATACAAAGCCACCAGCATGTAAAACCATGTAAAAAAGCATCTGCATGACAGGGAAGATAAACAAAGGTATGCAAACAGACCCTTGTGGCACACCACAGCTACAGCACACACCACAGATACAGCACACACCACAGACACAGCACACACCACAGACACAGCACACACCACAGATACAGCCCACACCACAGACACAGCACACACCACAGATACAGCCCACACCACAGATACAGCCCACACCACAGACACAGCACACACCACAGATACAGCCCACACCACAGATACAGCCCACACCACAGACACAGCACACACCACAGACACAGCACACACCACAGACACAGCACACACCAAAGACACAGCACACACCACAGACACAGCACACACCACAGACACAGCACACACCACAGACACAGCACACACCACAGACACAGCACACACCACAGACACAGCACACACCACAGACACAGCACACACCACAGACACAGCACACACCACAGACACAGCACACACCACAGACACAGCACACACCACAGATACAGCACACACCTGTCTCCTCCGACTTCTTGGGACCTTTTGCATCCTTCTTCTTTTGGGCTTGGGAGTCATCTGCAGACTTGATCTTGGAGATAGAAGGGAGACATCAATTTTAAAGTCTGAGCAGTATGTGTGTTTAGTCGACTCAGGCTCAGACTGCCAGTATTACCATAGTTCACACAATCACGTTTGCTCTGATTAGCAATCAACTTTACTCCAATCCTGCTCTCTGTCTGTGTGTGTGTGTGTGTGTGTGTGTGTGTGTGTGTGTGTGCATGCATGCTTGCATGTTTAGAGATATCACCAAGCAACCTCATCACAATCATCATTGCTACAACATTTTTCAATGGTGGAATTCCTGCTCCAGCCGATACCTTCAGAAATGTGTACGCTGCAAAGAGGCCGACTCCGATGGCGTAGAGTGGCATCAGCGTGAACACGTAGCCCTTGTTGCTGTTGGTTTTGTATTTGTCACCCTTCATCTCCTGCTCCATCATCATCTTCATCTGTTGCATGTTCTCCAGGGTCTGAGCTTTGTTCATGGAGCCGGCCGTGTTCTTGTTGACCGGCTGCCCTCTCACTGCACCTGGTCCTGGTCCAGGTCCCGGACCCACTGGGAAATAACACATGAGAGAAGAAGAAGATGATGATGATGATGATGATAAACAGGCCTATTCATGACAGTTGTCTTATTGCTAAAGGCTTAAGAGGCTACCATGCTGCACACTTTTACAAATAGACAGATATCTTGTTTTTAATAAGTTTGACAAGTTTGAACATAGTAAAACGTTAGGCTACTAAACAAATATACCATGGCAAGAGCAAAACATTGTATAGGCCTACACAATATGACGGTGGCGTCACATTGCCAAATCCAATACCATTTTTAATTCATGCAACCTTTTCTGTTGTAGCGTGCATCAAAACCTCTTGTTTCCTTCGCCCCGGACCCTACGCCGAACATTCTAGGGAACACCACAAACGCAAATAACACCGCCGTAAATGCGACCACCACTTGTTGAGACGATGAGAAAACCATATTCTTCTGCAACGTAAAGCACCAGAACAGCGACGAAAACAATCGGAGCCTTTGGTCCAGACGTACAACACCGAATCTTTAGCGCTTCTAGGCTATTACGCAGAAGGGACACTGACTCAATGACGTTTCAAACTGAAAACCACCCAAACCCTGTATTGACCACTGAACCGTGCTGACTGAAGATAAACAGCTGCAGCTGCTGCTGCTTCTTCTTCTTCGTCTTCTTCTTCATCTTCTTCGTTGGGATTTGGTTGGCGGATCGCATCCAACTTTCAGGTGCATACACCGCCGCCTACTGTACTGGAGTGTGAGGCCAGTCACAGCCTATCAATACTGAACAAAAATATACATGCAAAATGTAAAGTGTTGGTTCCATGTTTCATGAGCTGAAATAAAAGATCCCAGAAATGTTCCATACACACAAAAAGTTAATTTCTCTCAAATGTTGTGCACAAATTTGTGCACAACCACCTGACGGGTGTGGCATATCAATAAGCTGATTAAACAGCACGCTCAATACACAGGTGCACCTTGTGCCGTGCACAATAAAAGGCCACTCTAAAATGTGCAGTTTTGTCACACAACACAAGGCCATAAATGTCTCAAATGTTGAGGGAGCATGCAATTGGCATGCCGACTGCAGGAATGTCCACCAGAGCTGTTGCCAGATAATTGAATGTTCATTTCTCTACCATAAGTCGCCTCCAACATCGTATTAGAGAATTTGGCAGTACGTCCAACCGGCCTCACAACCGCAGACCACGTGTATGGTGTCGTGTGGGCGAGGGGTTTGCTGATGTTGTTACAGTTTTTCTCAATTGTTTACACACAAATACTGGTACTTGAGACACAATGACCACAACATGTAACTCATGCACCAACCCCCTGAACCAATTCTGCTAAACTACAAGCACAATTCCTGCTTTACACTCAAATTGCAGTTCTACAATACACTTTTTTGAAAACACTACACACAAATCTTTGCATTTGGCACAATTTTCATGCAGGAAATCTCTTGTTTTCACAATGAACACACTGCCATTCAAATATGCACACTGACTCATCACATGGGCAAACACCCGTCACACAATTTTACAATTAGCAATCAGAGCTTTAGCATAAAAGGGCAACAGGTGAGCTCTTCTGTTTTGGAGCAATGGATGCCAACATTGGAAACAGAGGCAGAGCCAGAGGAGTGAGAGTAAGAGGATTAGGACGGGGAGGACAAGGACAAGGACGAGGAAGGCCAATGACCGTAATCTCTGATGAGATCCAAGCCACTTTGGTTGATCATGTGGTCAACCATGGTCTAACAATGAGGGAGGCTATCACAGTGCCATCCGTTTTGTCTCCAAAGCCCCATACACTACCCACCACTGTGACCTGTACGCTCTTGTTGGCTGGTCCTCACTACATGTTCGTCGTCAAACCCACTGGCTCCAGGCCATCTATAAATCACTTCTAGGCAAATCCCCGCCTTATCTTAGCTCATTGGTCACCATAGCAGCACCCACCCGTAGTCTGCGCTCCAGCAGGTATATCTCACTGGTCATTCCCAAAGCCAACACCTCCTTTGGCCGCCATTCCTTCCAGTTCTCTGCTGCCAATGACTGGAACGAATTGCAAAAATCTCTGAAGCTGGAGACTCTTATCTCCCCCAATAACTTTAAGCATCAGTTGTCAGAGCACCTTACCGATCACTGCACCTGTACACAGCCCATCTGAAATTAGCCCACCCAACTACCTCATCCCGATATTGTTATTTAATTTGCTCTTTTGCACCCCAGTATCTCTATTTGCACATAATCTCTTGCACATCTAGCATTCCAGTGTTAATACTATTGTAATTATTCTGCACTATAGCCTATTTATTGCCTTACCTCCATAACTTGCTACATTTGCACACACTGTATATATATTTTCTGTTGTATTTCTGACTGTATGTTTTTTTTTTACCCCATATGTAACTCTGTGTTGTTTTTGTTGCACTACTTTGCTTTGTCTTGGCCAGGTCGCAGTTGTAAATGAGAACCTGTTCTCAACTGGCTTACCTGGTTAAATAAAGGTGAAATAAAAAAATTAAAAAAAGAGGCTGGGCAAAGAGTACAGCCAAATTTGAGCAGGTACACTGTAGCATCCATCATCCGGACATTCCGAAATGAGAATAGGTAAGAAATCTACTCTCACTAGAAAATTGCAGTACTGCATATCAATACAGTACTCAATGAGTACAGTAGTACAGTATTGCCTGTGGACTGTTCTGTAGGACTGTAAAAATAAAGTATGTTTCAAGTATTTTGGAAATGTATTTCTACTTTTTTGTATTTACAGCATTTTACTATTTGTTTGGCAGAACTGAAAGATTACCAACACAAGGTGGTCTGGAACGTGTTCTGTCTCCTGAACAGGAAACTGAAATCATGAACATGGTCCTAGAAAATAACGCCATAACATTACGGCAAATACAAAGAAAAATAATAGAAAACAATGAGATATTTCAAAATATTGATAGGGTAAGCTTATCAACACTGGACCGTGTCTTGCGCAGAAATAATCTCAGGATGAAGCAGGTCTACAGGGTGCCATTTGAACACAATTCAGAAAGAGTCAAAGAATTGCGATATAACTATGTGCAAGTGAGTCCTATACAATCCCACAATTGATGCATACTCTCAACACTGTATAAATTATACATATTTCAGTATTGTAATCATAATGATTGTGCTTCACAATAGTGACCACTCCATGTCTATTTCTGATATTGTCATGTGTGTTTCAGAGAGTCCTTGAGCTAGAGGTGGCTGCAGTGGAGCACCAGTTCATCTTCATTGATGAGGTTGGATTCAACCTCACAAAAAGATGAAAGCGGTGTGGGGATCTATTTTCTTATAACTAGATGTGATGCCTAGCTTAGAAAGTGTCACGATCGTTGACACATGATGAAGCGGACCAAGGCGCAGCGTGATAGGCGTACATACTTTTATGAGTGTACACACAACGAACCAAAACAATAAACGATACGTGAAGTCCTAGGTTAAATACACAAACCTTCTGGAACAAGATCCCACAATACAAAAGTGCCAACAGGCAGCCTAAGTATGGTTCCCAATCAGAGACAATGAGAATCAGCTGCCTCTGATTGGGAACCACCCTGGCCAACATAGAAATACAACGATCTAGAACAGAAAAATAGAAAACTAAACATAGAAACTAACACCCTGGCTCAACCTTAAAGAGTCCCCAGAGCCAGGGCGTGACAGTACCCCCCCCCCCCCCCCCAAAGGCGCGGACTGCGACCGCGCCAACTAAACCCAACAGGGGAGGGGCCGGGTGGGGCATTCCGCCTCGGAGGCGGATCCGGCTCCGGGCGTGACCACCACTCTCTCTCTCGCCCTCGTGGTCTGGCCCTGCTGGCCGGAGCTGGACTGAACACCGGTGGAGCGGATTGCTCTGGCTCCGGCGTGGAGCAGCTGACCGGTGCCGGACCAGGCACGGACCGTGCCGGACTGACGACGCGCACCACTGGCTTGGTGCGGGGAGCGGGAACGGGCCGGACCGGGCTGACGACGTGCACCACTGGCTTGGTGCGGGGAGCAGGAACGGGCCGGACCGGGCTGGCGACGCGCACCACTGGCTTGGTGCGGGGAGCAGGAACGGGCCGGACCGGGCTGGCGACGCGCACCACTGGCTTGGTGCAGGGAGCAGGAACGGGCCGGACCGGGCTGGCGACGCGCACCACTGGCTTGGTGCAGGGAGCAGGAACGGGCCGGACCGGGCTGGCGACGCGCACCACTGGCTTGGTGCGGGGAGCAGGAACAGGCCGGACCGGGCTGGCGACGCGCACCACTGGCTTTTGTGCGGGGAGCAGGAACAGGCCGGACCGGGCTGGCGACGTGCACCACAGGCTTGGTGCGGGGAGCAGGAACAGGCCGGACTGGGCTGGCGACGCGCACCACAGGCTTGGTGCGAGGGACAGGAACAGGCCGGACCGGGCTGGCGACGCGCACCACTGGCTTGGTGCGGGGAGCAGGAACGGGCCGGACCGGGCTGGCGACGCGCACCACTGGCTTGGTGCGGGGAGCAGGAACGGGCCGGACCGGGCTGGCGACGCGCACCACTGGCTTGGTGCGGGGAGCAGGAACAGGCCGGACCGGGCTGGCGACGCGCACCACTGGCTTTTGTGCGGGGAGCAGGAACAGGCCGGACCGGGCTGGCGACGTGCACCACAGGCTTGGTGCGGGGAGCAGGAACAGGCCGGACTGGGCTGGCGACGCGCACCACAGGCTTGGTGCGAGGGACAGGAACAGGCCGGACCGTACTGGGAACACACACCACTGGCCTTGTGCGGGGATCAGGAACGGGCCGGACCGGACTGGTAACACACCCCAGTACCTCTCGCCGTGCGTCTACACTCTCCTTCTCCCTCGTGACCAGTGGCCCCCGTAACCTGGCGGCCTCCTCTGCAAACCTGCCGAACCGCTCTATCGCGGCCTCCCACTGCCTCGTCGTCCACGGCGTGAGCCCCCCCTAAAAAATGTCTGGGCTTGTCTCTCCCCCGTTCTCATGGCCTCCATCCCTCTTGCCAAACTCTCACTCATCTCCTCCCACGTCCATCCTCTCTCCTCGTCACGCTGCTTGATCCAGTCGAGGTGGGATCTTCTGTCACGATCGTTGACACATGATGAAGCGGACCAAGGCGCAGCGTGATAGGCGTATATACTTTTATTAGTGTACACACAACGAACCAAAACAATAAACGATACGTGAAGTCCTAGGTTAAATACACAAACCTTCCGGAACAAGATCCCACAATACAAAAGTGCCAACAGGCTGCCTAAGTATGGTTCCCAATCAGAGACAACGAGAATCAGCTGCCTCTGATTGGGAACCACTCTGGCCAACATAGAAATACAACGATCTAGAACAGAAACCTAGAAAACTAAACATAGAAACTAACACCCTGGCTCAACCTTAAAGAGTCCCCAGAGCCAGGGCGTGACAGAAAGGATACATTACAGTTTTTTCCAACTGCTTACACACAATCTTTTCATGTCACACAATTTTTGAAACCTCTCACTCAAAGTGCAAAACTACACACCAAATCTCCAAAACCATAAGCTATTTCTCAGCCTTTGACTCAGTTGTCAATTGCATAAAACACTTTTTTCAAAACACTACACACAATTCTCTACCTAAAACACAAAAATCTAACAGGAAGTGACTTGCTTTACT